ATTTCTGGATGTTACTTACCCCATGCTCCACCTCTAATGTGTAGTTTGATGGTCCTGAAGGCCAGGGTGCAGCCCTTGGGTATTACTATGCTTTGTTTGTCCTCCCTGGTTCTCTGAATAAAGAAAATTACCTGTTAKAACACCAGGATGCATGTACTGGGGAAGGAAGGAGAGAGAGTCCAAACCTGTGCACAGAGCGTGGCGTAAAATTTGGCCTGGAAGCCCCCTTCTGCCTTGGTGGATTCCGTGTAGACAGTCTCCTCTGAGGCTTCAAGGATTTCAGTGACCACAAATAAATTGATGTCTGTTCTCTGTAATTGCCGGATGAAGGAGTGATCCATGTTGATTTGTCTAAAAGAGAAAAAGAATGGCAAGGGGTCTGGAGCATCAGAAGTAGCTGAGGAGGCTGGAGGGATGAACCTGGAAAGAGGAGGCTGAGGGAGGAGCTTGTCACACCATTCCCTTTCTAACCAGTCCTAGTTAGGGGGAATTTGTACCGTAAGGTCTTGATCTTGGTTTTAGGCTGCTGAAAACCTGTTGATGTCCTAGTGTGGGCTGGAGGAGGATGACTGGAGTGCCGGTGCTCCCTTTGTCATTCCTTACCTTTCTTTTCTCAGTGCCTCCAGTGATTCCAGTGATATGTCCTTCTTCTGTGGCGTGATGGAAAACACCTTGGACAAGGAGCCACCTCCTTTCAGTGCCACACTTGCAGGGTCAGAAGATATGCTGAGACTCCCATCAGCTTGGTCAGCGCTGACTTTTGAGAGGGTAAATTGGTTGAAGTCTTGATGGAGAGACTCTGAAATAATTCCAAATATTATCTTAAGCAGGATTAGACAGACATAGCACTGTAACTGTATCACACACAAGAAACCTGGAACATGGTAGAGTTCAGCTATAAATGATCCAAGCACAAAAACTGTGGAATTCCTGATTTTGATATTGATACATTTTGGCATTTACCTATGCTGTTGCTCTCTTCTCCAGGCAGCAGCACATCATACAGTGTGAACCCYGTCCGCTGGTAGTAGGGAGCTGGGTGGAATATGGTTTTTGGTTTGCTTTTTCTTTTCAGTAGATAGAGAGGCCTGAAGTGCTCATTGTTTGCGATGCTCTCAACAGGGACCAGGTCTTTGCTTGGATCCATTTGACTTACAAGAAATTTGGTGAGTTTTTTAAACATTCTGCTGTGGCAGAAGATTTGAAGCACAGCCAAGTGGATTTGTGCCTTGGGAAAGAAGCAACACARGCAAAATTACTTGAAATAATAGCAGGACATTGTAATGAAGTGTTACTTTAATTATTAAGACGTTTTCAAAATAGTTACTCAGAACCCCCCACATTATCCAAGGACGGAAGTTTCACATGGTTGTTATAAGCCGATGTTTGGAGGGGAAGCAGCAGGAGCTGTGAGTTGTTTGGCCTTGTTCTGCTGTGCTGGTGAACCTCAGCCACTGTGCAGAGAGAAGCA